TTTTCTTTTCTCTTTTCTTCTCTTTCTTTTTGTTCTCTCTCTTTCTTTCTTTTCTTTCCCCTCCCTCCCTCCCTCCCTCCCTCCCTCCCTTCTTCCTTCCTTCCTTCCTTCCTTCCTTCCTTCCTTCCTTCCTTCCTTCCCTGAAAATAGCATGATACTAGGGAGATAAAAACTAGAGTTCAGGACCCACCAAGGAAGAGGGGCCCACTGAACACAACAGAGTCTCCTTTAGTGATCCAAATAGTACCCTTGGAAGACTACCCTCTAGAAATGTGGGAAAACCAGAGGTGGTGATAGAGCCTTACAAAAACTGTAACCCAGACTCCAGTGAGTTCATTACAGGACTGGATTAAGGTGACCTCTCCCCATTCTGGTGGCCAGAGGATATAGTAAACCCTCTCTGGAGGAATAATGTCTCCTGGGGCTACTATAATTTCTCATAATGGTCAGTATTTGACAGTATATTGCCAGGCATACCAAGTAACAGGAATAAAGGGAGAAAACATACACAATAAAACTGGCCCACTAATGACACAGATATTGGTGTGACTGACAAAATAGAGACTTTCATCAAAGAACTGGAATTATTACAAAGTATCAAATGGAAATTTAGAACTAAAAAAGTGCAGTAATCGAAATTAAGTACTCAGCATATAGGTTAACTACCATTAGACTTAGTGGAACAAAATTTATTGAAATGTAGGAGGGCAGTATAAAAACTCTAAGCTGAAGCAGAGACATAAAGAGAATGGAAAATACAGCAGAGTGCATAGGAGTCCTGTGGGAACTGACAGAAAGATCCAACATGTGTGTAATTGGAGTCTCAGAAGAAGAGGAGGGAAAGAATGGGGCAGAAATCATATTTGAAGAAATATGGGATGAGAATTTCCCAAAACTGATGAAGCTTTGTTACTCCCAAGGTGGGTAAATAAAAAGAAAATTGCTTGTAGGCACACCAGACTCAAGCTGCTGAAAACCAGCAACAGAAAATATTAAAAACAGCCAAGGGTGGGGAGGAGAGGGAGATACATTAGTTTCAGAGGAGAAACAATAGCACTGATAACTCACTTGTCAACAGAAACGATGGAAGCAAGAAGACAATGCATACCATTTTTAAACTGCTGACAGAAAGACAATGTCAGCCTAGAATTCTACTTCCACAAAAAATCCTTTAAAAATGAATTTGAAATAGACGTTTCTACTCAAAACTAAGAAAATTTGCTGTGAGCAGATCTGCACAAAAAGAAATACTAAAAAGAAATCTTTAAGTAGGAGGAAAATGATCTCGGGTAGAATCCCAGAAATGTAGGAAAGAATAAAAAGCAAAAGGAAGAACAACTATGTGGGTCAATATAAATGAATATTGACTGAACATAGCAATAATAGTAATGTCTTGCTAGGTGTAAAATATATGTGGAATTAAAATGAATCATATCAATACCATTAAAAAACAGGGGGAAATAGAGATTGAGTTTTCTAAGATCAGAACATTATCTGGGAAGTGATTAAAAGGTAAGATTTGTCTTAGACTATAATATACAATAGATACAAGTTGTAATCTCTAGGGGAACCACTAAAGGAATAATAAACTGTGTAAGTAGCGACATACAGATGAGAAGTGGCAGGATTAAAAAATGAATTAATGCAGGAGCACCTGGGTGGCTCAGTGGGTTAAGTGTCCAACTCTTGATTTTGGCTCAGGTCATGATCTCATGGTTCATGAGATTGAGCCCCTCGTTGGGCTCTGTGCTGACAGTGAGAAGCCTGCTTGGGATTCTCTCTCTCTCTCTCTCTCTCTCTCTCTCTCTCTCTCCCTCTCACTCTGGCCCTCCCCCCATCAAAATATGTAAATAAACTTTAAGATTAAAAAAAATGCAGTTACAATATGAATTAATACAAAAGAAGGCAACAAAGGAGAGAAAACAAAACAGGACAAATGGGAATAAATAGCAGTAATTACATGTAAATGAGCTAAATACACAAAAGACAGAGGTTGATAGACTTGATTATATTCAAGAGATAATTATGAGAACATAAGAAAGTTGAAAAATATGGGGAAAAATGGAGTGTTAGAGCTGTTTCACAATAATACATGGCCTAATCCACCAGAAAAAACAACTGAAAATGAATATGAGCCTAATAACACAGCCTCAAAATATACAAAACAAAAATTGATAAAACTAAAAGAAGAAACAAACAAATCCACAATCACAGTGGGAGACTTTAACCTCTCTCCATCATGAATAGAAAATATACCTTCCTCCCCCCAAATCAGTAAAAATAGATGATTTGACCAATCTGATTCATAAACTTGACCTAAGAATAACACAGGACACCTGCTCGCACAGAATACAGATTTGTTTCAAGCGCGAGGATATTGCAATAAAAAAAATTATAGAAAAATCTCTTATGAACATAACTGCAAGAACACTTAAAAATGTAATAACATGTCACCAGACATTGTCCATACCCATAGAATGTGCATCATCAAGAGTAAACCGTGATGTGAACTGTGTTTCTTAGGTGATTATGATGTATCAATATAGGTTCATCAGTTGTAACAAAGGTACCACTCTAGTGAGGGATGGCGATAATGGGAGGAAGCTATGGATGTGTATGAAAAAAATCTCTGTATTTTCCCCTCAATTTTGCTGTGAACCTAAAACTGCTCTAAAAATGTAAAGTCCTAAAAAAAATAATTTAAAAAATGATGTTGGTATGTAAGGATATTAAAAAGTAATTAAAAACATAATAGCAAATAAATCTAGATTTTAAAGAAATAAGTCCAAGTACTACCGTGTGTGTGTGTGTGTGTGTGTGTGTGTGTGTGTGTGTCCACACAGACATACAGACAGACAGAGGAATACAAACACCACTGGCTTCTATTACAAGAATGTAAGTTTGGTTTGAAATTCAATTTTTTTTTAATGTTTATTTTTGAGAGAGAGAAAGACACAGTGCAAGGAGGGGAGGGGCAGAAAGAGAGAAAGAGAGGGAGACACAGAATCTGAAGCAGGCTCCAGGCTGGATTGTGACCACGAGATTGTGACCTGAGCTGAAGTTGGTTGCTTAACCAGCTGAGCCACCAAGGTGCCCCTGGTTTGACATTCAGAAATCAGTACAATTCATCACATTAAAAAAAAAGGAGAAAAATATGATTAACTGAAAAGACGCAGAGAAAGTATTTGATAAAACAACGCTATGATAAAAAAAACTTAAAAACATTTTTATTTATTTATTTATTTTGAGAGAGAGATCACGGGGGAGGAGCAGAGGGAGAGAGGGAATCCTAAGCAGGCTCCAAGCTCAGTGCACAGAGCCTGACAAGGGCTCAATCCCATGAACCATGAGATCATGACCTGAGCCAAGATCAAGAGTCAGATGCTTAACCGACTGAGCCACTCAGGTGCCCCATAAAAAAACTTAACAAATTGAGAACACATAATCATGAGTAGGTTAAAGGTCCAACAGCAAATATTCCACGTAGTAGTGAATATTGAAAGCTTCCCCCCTAAGACTAAGAAGGCTACCTGCATGCTCTCCCTACTGGCAGCCAGCACTCTCTGGAGGTCCCAGCCAGTGCAATTTGGGTTTCCATCTTGTACCCTGTAACCTTGCTGAGCTCGTTTATTAGCTCTAACAGTTTTTGACAATTCCTTAGCATTCCCTATAGACAAGACCATGTCATCTGCAAATACAGTTTTACTTCTTCCTTTACAATCTGGTTGGTTTTGTTTCTTTTTCTTGCCCAGTTGCCCAATCACTGCAGTTTGACAAGATAAAGAAGCCATAACGATTGTGAAGGAAGAAACACAACTGTCCTTTGCAGAGGTCATAGCTATATGCAAAGAAAATACAAAGAATCTACCAAGTATTACAATTTAAGTTATTTTAGTATATGTGCTGCCGAAGCGAGCACAATTTAAGTTATTTTAGTAAAACCACTCAATAGAAACAGTCCACATAGTAAAGTTAATAGAATCTCTACATACCAGCAAACATAAATATAAAACATCCAAGAATCTAGTGAAAGATGCGCAAAAATACTTTCCTGAAAACCACAAAATGGTTTTAAGAAAACTTGCAAAAGACCAAAAGAAACGGAGGGATATACCATGTTAATGGATTGAAGATTCAGTATTGTAGGGATAAAAAATGGCCCCAAACTGGTCTGTATACTCCATGGAAATCAGTCAAACTCTAGCATTTCTTTGGTGTGGAAACTGACAAGCTGATTCTACAATGCTTTGTGGAAATGCAAAGGCCTTCTTCATTCTGCAGGGATCACCTGGAGGACAGGATTGAGACAACTCAGGTCACCTCTCGCTCGTCCAGTGGAAGCACTTGTGTGTTTTTTGCCCTGACCATGTCTGTAGACATTCCAGCCCAATACAGCAATCCCTTCTTCTTCCCCATCAGACCAGAGAGCCTGCCAATCTCTTGCCATTGAGAATGTTCAGTTGTGAGTCAGTTGCACCAGTTCACTCTGTCCTGCAAAGGGGATATTTAACAACTTTTCCAAGTGGCCCTGGAAAGGCCACTGATAGGCGTGAACGTCACCTTGAAAGGTAGGGTGGCTGGCACCTCTTGTCTCAGGACCCCAGGTGAAATGGAAATAGTCCCAGTTTAGCAGCCTGCTATCCAAACATATAGAGAACCCCTATCACGTGTGTGCTATGATGTTATTAGAAATTACTGGAGGGGCGTCTGGGTGGCTCAGTCAGTTGAGCATCTGACTTCAGCTCAGGCCATGATCTCGCAGTACCTGAGTTCCAGCCCCACATCGGGCTTGCTGCAGTCCTGCAGTCAGTGTAGAGCCCACTTCAGATCCTTTGTCCCCCTCTCTCTGAGCCTCCCCCACTTGTACTGTCTCAAAAATAAAATAAAACATAAAAAAAAAAAAAAACTAAAAACAAAGAAATTACAGGAGTGTGGGCTTTGTTGGAATGTGTGTGTACAATAAATGAGAAAAAGTAAACAAGATATTCTGTTTGGACCACTGCCAGGTAAAGTGAGTCTTTATGCATTGACAGAGATCAGATCGGAAGCGAAGTTAAAGGGGCACAAACAGAGAATAATGATGGCTACTTTCTTTTGCTGAAGTTGCTTCACTGCATAAGAAAAGAGACAACACGGGTTTAAAGTTTGTTCCATTTTCACAATACGGTGTGTTGACCCCGCAAGTTCAACAGCATTTGGGTGAAAATGCAGGTTGCCTGTTAACAGAGACAGATGCGATGGCTGCTCATTACCTTGAGTACAACTTCACGGGGATCGGATGACTGTGGTTTGTGGGGACTTCCATTTTAATGAACTTCACATAGACACCTGCCACAACACAGTCCCCATAATGAAATCACTTAGGTTTATGGGAAAAGCTCTCAGCCCTGCGGGCTACGCTTTTGACCGCATGCTTTCACCATTTCCTGCCTAAAGTGAGAGCCCCAAGGAGCTGAATGCTGTCAACCAGGGAGACCACAGAAGCCACTAGAACACCTGTAAGACCAGGGGCGTGAGGCTTGGATTATGGGCAAGATGTGGCATGACGTGGGCCAGGGTCTGACCCAGCCCTGGGAGGGACCTAACACAGGTGAAGGCCTCCTCCCTGGCACAGGGACAGGATGCTGAGAACACGTCCACCACTTGGTACCTGGGTGGGCTGTTGCCAATGTTATTTCCCAGGTCCTAAAGCCAGCGAGTCTTGATCCCTGAGAGCTTTCTCTCCTGAGCTGTGGGCACGCCGTGCTGCCCAGGAATCCTGGGGCTGTTCCACACCAAAGTGCCCAACCCAACTCTGAGACTGTGCTATTTATTGTGGACCAACTGAAATCAGTGCTTTGGGCGCCCCCTGCACCCCATTATTCCCCCGGCGCAGTCTGTGTTCTCTGCTAAGCGGAAGGCAGGGAAACCAGAGCCCATATAGGTTTAGCATCAATATGCCATCAGCTTTCCGGGATGGTGGAGCCTAAGTTTCCAGTGAGCACACAGAGCTCTGCTATCGCTGAATAGAGTATTTCTTCTGAATGCCTGAGATTCCGGTCCATATCGGGACTGTGGTGCCTGGGATTCGGAGCCCAGGCAGCCCCACGGGGAGAGGAGGATGGAGTGAGTCGGGAGGGTACCTGAGGCTGGTGGGTGGCAGCCAGCCATGCTGCCGAGCTGGCTGGGGCTCCCTCGTCCCTTCTCTCCTGCGTGGTGGCACTCACAGTGCCCTGGCTCCGGCCGGCCTGGCAGCCCAGCAAGATGCTGGCTGGAGCATCCAGGCCTGCGGCTGCCACAGGGGAGAGGAGAGCAGGCTCCCCCCGCAGACCCGAGGGCGTGAGCCGGGTCAGGGCTCAGTGGTGCGACAGAGGGCATGCCAGCGCTTCACCAGCTCCTTGGGCTTGCTGAACATCTCGTTCCAGTGCTCCAGCTGCTTGCCCCGGGCATACATGTAGGGGCCCACCACCACCCGGCCCAGCGCGTGGCTCTCTGCGGGGGAGGGAAAACGTCTTCACTCTCTGGACCACAGAAACCACATCACTTCAGCAACATCCCCCGTGCCTTCTCTCTCTCTCTCACTTACTCCTCCTTTGGAAGGGTGGAGCAAGCCCCCTCCCTCTCTAAGCAGGAGCTGACAGCCCCCAAAGGACCCTGCCTTTGCTCTGGAGTCGGAGATGGAAAAGGGAGCCCAGGTGGAGAGCCAGCCCTATGGGGTCACCTTCTCTGCCTCTCACCCTCCTCATGAGACATCTTAAGCCAGCCTCACGCCAAAGAGCTGAGGGAGAAAGGGGTCCCTCCGGAAAGAAGCCCTCTTCCATCACCTTCACGCTGCCTGAACGCTCCTCCTTTGCCCGTGTCCCCAACAGCCCGGCCGGGGTGCGGGGACAGCCTTACTCTCTCCTTCGGCGCCCTGCAGCACGGTCAGGCTGAGGCTGGCAGTGTCCAGCTCAGCGGGGTCGGCCTTGAAGCTGAAAGTCTCGCTGTACACGGGGTTGGCGGAGCCCAGGACAGCCGAAGTCTTCTTGCACTTGACAAACTTGTTGTGGTTCATCAGAGACACTTTGACACACACACCTGCGGGGCAGTGCAGACCGTGGGCCGGGAGGAGCGGGCGGGGTCCAGCCTCTGGCCTGTGGGAGGTCTGGCTGGGAGGGCGCGGCCCACCCTGGGCGCCAGGACCCCTGTTGCTCACAGCCACTATAGCCAGAGGGCGTTACGAGAGGAAACAGGGTTGATTAGCGTATGGCCTCACGCCAGAGGAAACGCTGGGCTCCCTTCCTCTTCCTTCCTCTGTGCCTCCTGAATGCGCCCACGGCTCGGCTGGCCCTTGTTTACCAGGGCCTGGCACCACACGCCCATCCCTCCTTTTGGTGGAGGGGGGCCCTCTCTGCCTGCTGACTGCTCAGGCTCCCTGGGGCCCCTTAAACACCTTCTGCTTCAGAGGGCAGAATTTTTGGAGTGGGGCTCATATGGGTTTTGGATCCACAGTGGAAGGTTGAATGACAACTTGCTTACAGTGACCCAGATGCGGAGACACACAAATGGCAGACAGCCACCACCTTGCTGGGGGGGCGGGGGGGCGGGGGGGACACATAAGGGCAGGACATTATGCTGAGCCAGAGCAGGGCCTTCGCTCCTCCAGCTGCTGGGTTCTGGGGGCTAGAGGAAGCAGCACCCCATGCTGCCTGTCGGCCCGGGATGCCTCTTCTTCCAGTCGGGTGCAGGGGAACCCTCCGTGGGGGCAAGGGGACGCGGGGTCTGGCCCTGGAGGAACTGGAGTCCTTCACAGAAGGGCAGAGGTAGAGGCGGGATCAATCTAAGGTGGGTTCAATCTAAGGAAGTGGTTTCCCACATCACAGTTGTCCACAGAGGGTGGTGAGCACTCCTGTGGTGGCTCAGACACAGGCAGGAATTGCATGGCCAGGGGCAAGGGGCAGACTCCAGCTCCCGGCCCCAAGTTCACAGGACAGAACCTGCCTGGGGGAGGAGAACTTACTGACAAAACTCGTGTCCTCCTGGAGCTGGAGGCCCTTGGCTCGAAGTACGACCACGGTCAGGCGGCGCAGGCAGTCGTTGTAGCCGAGGCAGAACTGCAGGTCTCCAAACTCAGAGGGAGGCTGGGAGGCCGAGAGGAAGGCAGCCGGGTCAGTTAGCAGGTGCCGGAGGAGCCACGGTGCCTTCCCGGCAGTGCCTTCCTCCTTGGTCCCGGCAGTCAGGCACTGGTACTGTGTGGCACTTTTCTCCTTTAAGCCCACCCTCATTTCGGCTTGGGTGGGGAAACTGAGGTCTGGCCAGCTGAAGGGACTTGCTGAAGATCACATGGTAGTGAGGGGCAGAGCTTCGGACACAGACCCAGGTCTAGGGGATTCCAAAGCCTATTCCAAGCTGCCACCATCCTCTCGGGGGTCAGGAAGATAGAGGGTAAGTATTTTCCTCGGTTGGACCATTTGGGGTGTCACCTTTCACAGTTGTCTGATCTGGGTGGGAATTTAAGTCTGGACTTTTTACAAGTCTCTGATCTCCAGGGCGAGAGAACCTCAGGCGGCCCTTCCCTGCCCAGGAGCGGCTCCACTCTGCCCCCTTGTCCCATGCACTTGCGGCCCAGGCCCAGAACCCTGAGTCACACCGGTAGGGGCAGTGGGCAGTAGGCTGAGGGCTGTTGCTGGCCGACAGGTGCTGGGTCACACCTGCCCGCGGTAGTCTGACACACAGTGGTATATGCCTGGTGACTTTGACCTTTACCTCCAGGCTCTCAGCCTCCAGGTCTCTCCAGATGAGGCGCCGGCAGTCACCTGCCAGGGTCTCGTTTTTCAGGGGGAAGAACACCTGGCCCAGGAGCTGGTGCTTCCTCTGTCTGTCCACGTGGTACACGGAGAACCTGAGTACCCTTTGAGTGATGCTCTTGCTGGACACCTGGGGGAGATGAGGGTCTGCGCTGGGGTCAGGTGTGGAGACAGGGGATGGGATAGGATGGCGTGCTGTTCTGGACCCAGGAGCTTTTGGTGACAGGTGACTCAACCAGGGACCTGCACACCCCAAACCCAGGCATCCTCAGGGGGCCCTTTCCAGCAGCGAGCCCAGTACCCCTGGGAAGCGGGAGTGTGTGCCACAGCCTTGCCTTGCAGGGTGTGTTTCGAGGACCAGCAGCGTTCACCACTCGCTTGGACTTTGCTAGAAATATAGGACCTGGGCCCCACCTCAGGCCCATGAAGGGAATCTACCATTTAACAGGACCTCCAAGTGATTTGCCTGCACATAAATGTATAGGAGGTCTCACACCGGAGCCCAGGGAACCTGCCCGTCTCTGCCATCTGAGTTGGGCACCCCTCTCCCTGAGGCTGTGTCCTCATCTGTAATGGGGATAGTGGTTCTTACTCTTTGAGTTCCCCACGCAATCATGGGGTCTGATGTTTGGCAGATGGTCAATTAATACTGATTTGCTTCTCTTCCTCTTCTCCTTCCCCTCCCCCATTAAAGCACAAAGAGGCAGAATCAAGTTGGGACGGGGCAGGAGAGTGATGGTTAAACAAAAATCAGTTTGTGAGCGTGACATGTGGCCAGGCCAGTCAGCAAGGCTACATGCCTTCATGTCACAAGGCTTCATGCCCCGAGAAGGGCGAGGTCACCTGTGAGTTCCCACAGCCTTGGCCCCCAGCAGGAGGCCGGGAGATGGGCCCCATGCCACCCCTCCTCTCAGCTACAGCTCTCAGCCCAGAAGAAGGCAAGAATCAGGGCTCTGGCTCAGCAATCACCCTCTTCTGGATGCTGCCTGGACTGTCCTTACCTTGCCAGCCAGCCTGCTGTCCGCTCTTGAAAATGTTTGCCCAAGGCTTCAAGGCAGCTCTTGATGGCTGGTTTCCCATAAGGGGCCCCCAGTCACCTGCTCAGGCTCCCAGGTACCTGTGAGCTTGGCTCAGTGCCCAGACAGCCTCTGCACCTCCAGACCCTGAGCCAGCCCGCCCACAGGCCAGCAAACGCACCACCTGCTGCAGGATGGCTCTAGGGTCCTGCACCGGTCTCTGATAGGATAGGCAAGTTCCTGCCCCCACCCCAAGGGGCATGGGGGGCTTGCCCTCTGCCTTCTTTAGATAACCTTGCCAGAAACCTCACAGTGCTCCAAAGCCTTGGAGCACTTCTCCAGGGCCCCATGGGCCAGAGCGAGGCATTCAGTAGGTGCTCCAAGAATGTGTTTTCTCGTTCTCTCATCCAGGCAGCCTGGCCAGAAGGAGCCCAGCCCTCTACCCCCTCACCTCCCTAGTCTCTGCCCTACCCCCATCATCAGCGGTCAGGACAGGGCAGGCAGGGGAAAGCACAGCTGGTGGCATCAGGGGTCTTGGGGGGGCTGCAGGGCCCTGGCTAGCACAGAAGGCTGGAGCTCACCTGCACGACGTCTGCTCCTTCCCAGGAGGCCAGACCCTGTCTGCACCAGAGGCCTTACCTGGAAGATGAAGTGCTCATCAAACTGTGGGTTGGAGGTCTTGCGTTTGGTCTTGGACTGGAGGAAGCGCCGCTCGTCGGGCAGCAGATGAAGCTTCACCAGGGGGCTGCAGGTCTCTGAGGGGCCTTGCAGCCTCCGCGCCTTGATCAAGCCCACCAACAGCCGCTCGGCTTCCTGCTGGTATTCCAAGGAGAACCACAGCCGCCCCAGGCAACCCTCAGGGAAGTCCGTCTCACTCGTGTCCTCTAGGAACTTGTATAGCTCTGGGTTGATGGTCCCCACCATGCCTGTATTTCCAAGGATACAGGGGCGGGGGGTGGTCTGCCAGGCCAGAGGAAGGCAGGGCCATGGGGGACAGCGAGCTCTGGGCTTCACCACCCCTGCCCCCTGCTCGTCTCTTCTTGGCTGAGCCTCCAGTAGGCAGTTCACTGGCCTCTCCAGACCACATCCACCCCCTGCCCTTCTCTAGACTGAACACAACCTCTCTCTCTAGTACAGCTCCTCAGGCAGCCTGCCAGCACTAAGGCAGGGCATATCCAGGCCTGCTTCCCTCTGCGGCTCCCAGCAGGGTGAACAGTGTTCATTTAATCCCTGCCCCTTAGGTCAGGGCCTGCTTGTTGGGCAGGGGGTTCATAGTGCCCAGGACCTGACCTGGCCCCTGTCCATGGTGTTCAGAGGATGTCTCAGTGATAAAACTTTGCCTCTTCTATTCCTGTTGAAATTAGAAGGGCCTCGCTGATAACTGAGTGGTTCCTGGGAAGGTATCTTGGAAGGTGTTCAGAGCAAAGGTATGGGCAGAAAGCTGAGCACCCAGCTCCCACCTTTCTGAACTCTGGATCAGCCAACCAATCAGTCTAGGAAAGAACCCATCAAATGTTCTGCACCCGCATACCAGGGTTCCAATCCCTCTGTTGCCTACAGCCTCTGTGACCTTGGGCAAGGCACTGTTAGCCTTCCGAACCTCTGTTTATGAATGTGCAAAATGGGGTGAGGATCTCTCCCCCCAAACAGGCAGGGTGATGTCTTACTCCACAATGGCACAGGAGGCCATATCTGGTAGAGGCTAGGGTGCAGCAGGCATTTCGTAAACCCAAGTACCTGGAAAGAATGGTCACTGGGCCACTCTTCCCAAGGGAAACCAGAAGATTCTGCCCAGAGCACTAGGATCCCAAGGGAAATGACTTTACTGCTGAGACTCAGCAGAGCCCAGCCAGCAGCACCCCTGCTTCTGTTTCACTCCTGGGGTCCAACCCAGGGGGTGGGGCTGCTGCCTAAATTCTGCCCCCAGGAGGCCAGTGGTGTGGGTTTTCCCCAGGCACCACATTCCTGGTGGTCTCTGCCCCCAGAACAAGTGGACCTGGTAATTGGGGGCATCACTGGAAGGCTGCTGGTCCAGGCTGTTTTCCAGGGTCAGGCCCATGAAACCAAATGGTTCCACCCCGGCCAGAGCAGACCCCGACCCCAGGCAGGCTCTGGCGGGAGCACTCACCAAGGTTGCTGCTGGAGGTGTGGGGCAGGAGCTCCGGGGCTGGGCAGGGGTCCCGTGGGACCTGAGCCCACTCTCCACTGTTCAGGGGTACCCAGTCTCGGTCTTGGAAGGAAGGGGGCACCACGAATGGCACACCTGGTGGCCTGTCCCGAGGCGGGAAGATGACATGTTGGTGGCAGGTGGAAGGTGTGGCTCCCACAGCCCATAGGGGTTGAGTGTCAGAGGCTGGGGGAGGAAAAGCCAGCAGGAGCCAGGAGGAGGCAAGAGCACCATTTTCTGGGCCCACACCTGCCCCTGCCTGCCCCCCACCCCCACCCGCAGCCAATACCTCTGCCTGTCTGCAGCCAGTGGGGCCAGCACTGCCTCAGCCACTTACTGGTTGTGTTCCCTGGACCTGTTACTTATGTCCTCTGAGCCTATAGGAAATAAGCTCATTCTGGAAAACGAGCTTCATAATGCCTGCCTCATAGCTTGTGGTGACAATTCTGGGGTTTCTTCATGATCGCTCCCAGCATGATGACCGCATACAGGAGGCACCCCATAAACAGACCTTTCCTTTCCCACCCTACTCCAAGGGCAATGCCACAGGGAGGGCCCTAAGCAAGGCCAGGGGCTTGCTTGGCCCCACACCCTGCCTTACCTGCTTGTCTGGGTCCTGGCGGCATATGGCGGGCAGAACTTGTCCCCTTGTGTGCTGGACGCGGCTGTGGTCCCTGGCAGCTCCTCATAGGTGAACATGGCACAAAGCCTCTTCCAGAGACAGCAGCTCACCCAGATCAATAGCAGTAGCAGCAGCAGCCCCCCAGCGAGGCCCCCGATTACCAGGGCCACCTGCTCTGGGGGCAAAGACCACTAGGACTGTGATGCCTGGAGAAAGCCACTCCCCTTCACACCACGGACCTGTTGGGGGCAGGATTTGGGCAGCAACCACATGCCCTGAGTTGGACCCCAGGAGCGACACAGAAGCAGGCTTCCTGTTCCTTTGGAAAGCAGCTGGCCCTGGACTTGAGATTCTGGCTGAAATGAACCATTTTCTTGTGCTTCTGAGTAGAAATTAAATCTGCTCTTACCAGAACCTTTATCTTCCCTGGACTCCTATTCAGGCTTGAGAGCAAACCCGAGTGTGGGCATCATGTACGTAAGGAAAGCCCAGGAAGGGGTGATGTCCTGGTTTGCATTCCCAGCCCTATCCTTTGGGGTCCTGGAACCTGCTGAGAGGCCGAACTCACGTTTGAATTCTGTAACTGTCTCTACAACCCAATCCCTTGTTCAACCCCCTATCAAGATGAACCCTCTTAGGGGAGTCCGCTGGAGACGACGGGAGTGTGGATGAAGAAAAGGGCAGTGGGCGTGAGAAACGGAGACACAAGCACCCTTTGCTGCCTGCACCCGTACAATTGCGGGGACCTGGCAGGATCCACTCCCGTTTCAGCGCCCTCTCTGGGACGCTCGCTCCCAGGCGCCTGCTGCCTTCCTCTGACAAAGAAGGGGCCTCCTTCGGGTCACGTGAGGACACGGGGCTTCCGGGGCTCTGGGGTCTGGACGAGGGGAGTGGTGAGAAGGAGACACTCCCCCCCACCTTCCTGACCCCCAAAGGTCCTCGAGGAGCGGGCCTCCCTCTCCACCTCTTCCCGCGCTAGGAGCCACAGGCAGGTGCGGGCGGCGCCCCAGCGGGGCAGGGGGGGCGGGGGGAATTGGGGGCCGAGGGCCCCCGACGCCGCCCTGGGGGCGCGGGTGGGGAAGGGGCACTTACCCGCCATGACACTGCTCGGCGGGCTGCCGGGGCTGGGGCGCACTGGTCTCCGCGCCTCCACGCGCCGCGGGACAGGCTTTTAAAGCGCGGCGGTGCCGTCGGCGGGCGCGGGGGCGGTCCCTCGTCGGGTCCTGGCGGCAGTCGGCGGGGGAAGGGAGCCCGCCCCCGGAGGCCGCAGCTCCGCCCCGGCCAGGCCCGGGTCGCCGGCGAAGGGGGAGCCGCTGGTGAGCGCCAGGAAAGTGCAGGACTCTGGGCTGCGCGGCTGGGGCGGGGTGGGGTGCGAGGGCGCCCCGCTCCGGGAGGGCAGCGCCAACGCCTTGGCCGCCGCGTCTGAGGGAGGGCTCGGCACCTGGCCCTTCACGCCCGGCCCCCTGGACACGCGACACGCGGGTCTAGGAGTGCCACTCCATCTTCCGCGATCCTCTGCAGGCTGTGGCTGCGCCCCCCGCCCCCTCCCTGGCTCCCCCCATATCCCTTCCCCCCCCCCCCCCCCCCGACCCCGGGCCTGCGCCCACTCCTGCTCCCGAGGCCTGCCGGGCTTCCAGGTTGGACTCTCCGCGCGCGGTCCCGGGCCCCCGCGCCGCCTGCCTGACCGCGGGGGGCGAGGGGTGCGGGGCTGAAATTCACGGGTCCGCCCTGGCAGCACACAAAGTAATGAGGCGTTGGACAGCCCGGGTTCTGCAGCGGGACCACCTGGGTTCCTACCCCGGCTCCCCACTAGCCAGTTGTGACACTGGGGACAATTTCCTTCAGCGCTCTGGGCTCCCTGTCCTCAATTGGGTTAGTAATAGTAATCCCTCTGGGGTTAAAGTATGTAATGGACACGGCTTAGAACGGAGGTGACTTGGCCCCACTGTGCGCGGGGCGGGGGGGCGGGGAGTGGGTGGTGCACAGCGCGTGCCAGCCACCGCTATGGTGATTATCTGACTCAGGGTGGCGTCGCCTGGATCCCCTGGACACCCGCAGCCCCTCTTACTGAAATGCTTATTATCAGACCGCGGGGGCAGTGCCAGTCGGGACTAGTGAAGGCAGCCAGAGCCTTGACGGAGGCTCCGGTCCTCTGCCAGCTTCCACCCGGTGTGCGTCCCATTGGAGGACGTGCACCCTCTTGGCGTCCCATGGAGTGTCCCTGTGGGGTGCTCTGGTGGGAGCATCTGAGACCTTGAGGGGGCGTCTGGAGATGGGGACCGAAATGAATATGTGTGTGTTGGTGAGGTGAGGGTGGGGGGAGGGTCGGTCTTGTTTTACAGCCTTGAAGGTTTTGACCAAAGACCCCCTCTGGGCCCTGCTCCAGCCTGGCATCTGTGCCCATCCCGGTAGGGAGGAGGCTGACTAGACAAGAGGGACAGCCCACCAGGCTGTCAGTGTGCAGTTCCACCCTGCCCAAACACTGCTTGACCCGAGGCGAGGCGGGATGGTGAGGTGAGCCTGCGTCCCCCTCATCTCGCAGGAGCAGGGGGAAGAGTGGCTCTTTTCTTTTCCGGGGTCTGGTGAGAAGGTGGGTCCCTGCATCTGTGTCCAGTAGGGCATGCCTCTCCACTCCACCCCGGAAGCCTGCTGGAGTCTGCTGGAACCTGGTGGAGGCAGGGCATTTTCCTCCACCAGCCTGCCCCCTCCTGCATACCATTTTGGCTGGAGTGTCTGGAGACCTGGGACTCTGACCTTTGCTTCTGCTGGGCTGATGATATCTCAGGAAATGGAGTCTGGGTCTGCCTCAAAACCTCCTCATCTTTGCCCTCACCTCTGAGTTGAATGTCTGTTAGTTTCCTGTTGCTGCTGTAACAGATGACCACAAATGTAGTGGCTAGAAGCACAAATGTAGTCTCTTACAGTCTGAAGTCAGAAGGCTGAAATGGGTCTGCAGGGCTGTATTCCTTCTGGAGGCTGGAGGCAAATCCACTTCGCATCCTTTCCCAGCTTCTAGAGGCTGCCTATATGTGGCTGCTTCCTTTATCTTCAAAACCAGCAGCAGCATTTTCTAATCTCTCTGAATCCAAGTCATGTTCACATCAACTTTCCTGCCTCCATCTTTTTTTTTTTTTAACGTTTATTTATTTTTGAGACAGAGAGAGACAGAGCATGAATGGGGGAGGGTCAGAGAGAGAGGGAGACACAGAATTGGAAGCAGGCTCCAGGCTCTGAGCCATCAGCCCTGAGCCCAACGCAGGGCTCGAACCCACGGACCGCGAGACCATGACCTGAGCTGAAGTCAGACGCTTAACCGACTGAGCCACCCAGGCACACCCCTGCCTCCATCTTATAAGGACCTTCGTGATTTTGTGGGGTCCACCCTGATAATCCAGGATAATTATCCCATCTCAAGGTCTTTACCTTAATTGCCTCTGCAAAGCCCCCTTTGCCATGGAAGATAACCCATTCCCAGCTTTCAAGAATGAGGACATGGACATCATTGGAGCCAGAGTGTCCACGGAGCCCTTTGGGAAGGGATGGTTTACATTCTCTCTCCCCCTGCTGCTTAAAGTTCTCAGTGGGCCCAAAGGCTAGGACCAGGCAGCTAGCAAAGCCCACATACCCCCTTGCATGGTAACTTTCCAGTTGCCATGAGCCTCTTCCTAGCTGCTTCGCCTGGCCTGGTTACCCCTGACAGGGCATGGCACCCATCCACACCCAACCACCTCCATGATTGGCCCCAACCTGTGTGAGTGGGTACTTCTGGAAAAGCGAATGCATTGTGGCCACTCTGGCCAGGTCCAGAGCTGCCCATCCTCCCCCCAGCCCCATGCTGTGCTTTTCCAAGGCCTCCTGGCTTCCTATCTGTTTCCTTTCCTCACCACCTACCTCCAAGCCTTGGCTCGCTCCTGCCAGCTCTTCTTCCTCAGTCCGTCTCCATCAACACCAAAACCTTCTCCCAGGTCTCTGCCATCTCTAATCTGGAGCACTGCACCAGCTTCCTCTCTGTTCTTTAGACTCATCCCTAAACCCTCTCCTCAGCTTATGTCTTCCAGGCTCCCCTCCCTGGTCTCACCCACCTGGATGCCTCCCTACTGCCATCCCTCTGCAGTGCTCAGAGCCTGTGATGATTACCCCACCCCACTCTCCCCAGCAGACCAGGACCTCATGAAGGCAGGGAGCCATGCCTTATTCAGCTCAGCGTCCCAATATCTGCCTCCAGGGCCAAGCTGTGCTGAATGGTGGATGAAAGGCTTGCACCCTCAGGATGAGCTGCCTTCTGGTTTCTGCCAGTGTTATCCGTGCATCGCACACACCCTGGGCCCACACTTCAGGGCCCACCAGGATCTCTTTCCCTTGCCCTGGAGACCAGCTGCTGGGTCCTGCACTCACATTGCTAGCTTGGCCTGGAAGCACCTTATGTGTGCACCCAGCCCTCCGAATTTTGAGTCTTTGTTCCTCCGCAGGAAGATGAGAGCAAGTGTCAGGGGAGAAGCTCACCTTTTTGCTGCTTCTTATGTTTTGGGCATCACAATGCAGGCTCAGCGTACATGACCTGTTGAGGCCTCCATTGTGTCAGCCCTACAGAGCTGGGGCCACTGCTTCAGATGAGGAAACCACATCAAAGAGGTTCCGTGGACTACCCAGTAAGTGGTAGGCTAGACTCAGCTCCTGGACCCCCTCATTCCTTTCCCCCCACTGGCCAGCTGAGGGGCCCAAGCAAGGCCCCAGGAAACTACTTCCTGTGGAGATGACTGTGAACTTAGGCCAAAAGCCACAGGCACCATGGCCAGTATCCCCTCTCTCCACTGGCCCACAGGGGCTCTGAGCCCTGCTGGCCTGGAGCCTGCTCACATAACAATGGCCTCCAGATCTAGCTGCAGCCGTGGCCCTGCTTCCTGTTTTCAGATCTTTCTCCTCCCTAGGTCTCTGGGAGCTGGGAAATCTGGAAACAGTGGCAGACAAGGTTTCTCTTTGCCGTGGCCAAAAGGAAGCCATATTTCAATTGGTGAAAGCATTCCCAAGGAGGCTTGCAGGAAGTCCAAGTGTTTAAAGGCCTGCAAATGCCTGCAGGTGATTAATAATTCAGTGCAATGGATGATTCAAGAGAAAGGCCACTTTCAATTAACCTTAAGAATCGGCCCGTCTGAGGAAGTGTCATCTCTTGTCACCTAGGAACAGAGAGAGAGACCAGAGCAGGATAAAGGCCACTCTGAGAAGCATGTGGAAGACTGTGTTTCTCACAGTTATGTAAATTCCACCCTGGTCAGCCCAGGTCTCTCTCTGTGAGGTGTGGAAGCGTTCTCCCCACACCAGCATCATAGATTTTCTCTGGTTCCACTACATTGGCCTTACTTTCCTATTTTTGAGGAGATTGGAGGAAATAACTTTCCATATCGGGTCATAAGCTCCCGCCTTGTCCCCCACTCCACCATGCTTGTTTCAAATATGTCCCATCCTGTGGACAACCACTCGGAGTCCTAGAATGGGGCCCAGAACCCCTGGCTCACTCCTGCCTCCTGGGAGTTTTCTCTGCTGCCCTGCACGGTTCTCCCTCTTCGCTGCCCCTGCTTGGCAGCTTTTCTCTCTACTGGCAACAATAGCCTGCCTTTTCTTCTCAGGAACTACCCTCTCCCCTCTTTGCTCACATGGTAGCTGAGGGAAGACAGTCTCTTCCCTTTGCCCACATCACCGGCTCACCCTTGTTCCGGGGCCTTGCACATGACCCAGGCCAGGCCACCCAGTGTGCTTCATTCCCTGGTGCAATGAGATGTTTCACTCTGGAATTTTTGTGGAATCAGCATTTGTGGACACTTCCTTCTTTGCAGGCCCCGTGGAGCTGGAGGAGCTAAGTCCAGGGTGGTTGGGAACACTTGTGTGGAGGAGGGTGTGTGAGACCAGAGTCAGCACAGGAGCACAGAGTAGGGTGGGAGGTTTCATGATACTGTCTGACCCCTGGTCCTGGAACCCTGGCGGCCATCTCTCCCCAGATGGTTCAATAAATTAAATTAAAATTTTTTTTTTTCTTAAGCCCGTATGAGGTGATTTCTGCCACTTGCAGTTAAGAGTCGTAATTAATCGTTAACGGAGGCAGGCCACGAATGGGTGGGCAAGGTCTGTGAGGCTCATTCCCATCTCAGTCAGGTGGAAAGTGAGACTCGAGGGTGATGAGTTGCCT